GGTATGTTTTTAAATCAGCAAGTCACTGCAATCCTATTAGGCCACTTCCATGACAAGAGGAGGCCTGCTCCCACATTAGGAACTTGGCACAGTAAGCTTTTTTCCTTGCCAGAAAGGGCAAAGGCCTTGAGCAAGAAGACAGCTTTTCCTGATTACAAAACTGACCACAATTCCTTGCCAACCTATTAGTATAGAAAACTTTCTTTCTTCCTTTCTCTTTTCTTTCTTTTTCTTCCTTTCTCTTCCTTCCTTCCTTTCTTCCTTTCTTTTTTTCCCTAGTATCACAGTTTTTCAGACAGGAAGAATTCCATTTTTATCATGACACAGGATATATAATTTCAGCATCAGACGATGCAACATTGCTGCATTTTTATTGATTGATAAAAACTCAACCAAGTTTTTAAAAAAACAACCCCAACACAATGCATAAAAACATTCAATCCACAAAAAAACTCTAGTCCCTTAGCTAATTAATTTTATAGATCTTTTTGTCATTTTGGACTGTATAGATTAATAGAACAATTTTTCTTCAGTATTTAGCACTCTAGTGTATTAGAATTTACATGCAGGATTTAAAATATTAATGTATAGTCCTGTCCCAAAAGCATTCCTTACAAACTAGAATTGGAAGCTTGTCCCTGAAGATGATATGAGAATATACCTCCTCTCCTTTTTTGTAGTGACTGAGAATTATAGGGGCCAGCTTGGTAGCATAGTGGGTAGTGTGCCGGGTGTGGAGTCAAGAAAACCCGAGTTCAATTTTGACTTTAAACACTTAGTAGCTGGGTGATCCCTGGCAAGTCCCTTGACCCTGTTTGCCTCAGTTTCCTCATCTGTAAAATGAGCCAGAGAAAGAAATGGCAAACCACTCCAGTATCTTTAACAAAAAAAAAATCCAAATGGAGTCCCAAAAAGTTGGACACAACTGAACATGACTAAATAACAATGAAAGGGAAATATGGGAAATGACCCATTCTATGGAATTTGGTTGCTATGTTTGTTAGTTTTGCCAAACTACTTTCTTTTTTTTTCTCTTTTCCTTTTTTTTTTTTTTGATGAGGCAATTGGGGTTAAGTGACTTGCCCAGGGTCACACAGCTAGTAAGTGTCATGTGTCTGAGGTCACATTTAAACTCAGCTCCTCCTGACTCCAGGGCCGGTACTCTATCTACTGCGCCACCTAGCTCCCTGCAAACTACTTTCTTTCTTTCCTTTTTATTCCTTATTATAAGGGGAAACACTCTGGGTGGGATAGGAAGGAGGGATATATTGGAAAGTGAGGATGATATAAAAAGGAAGATTTTTTTTAAAAGAATGAAAAAGAGACTAAATTGGATGCCTATTTGAGTAAGAGCTAGGATGCTTCATAGGGTTTGGAGTTAAAAAGCTGGACCTTAAAAACCTACTCTAACTATCTGCAATGTCCCTTTCAGCTCCAGGATACTATGATTCCATGCAAGTTAAGCTAATCTTGCAGTTCATTACACGAAGATTTAGACTTTCCCCTTTTAAAAGGAAATGTATGACTCTTGATCAATCTCCTTGCTGAGATCATTCTGTCTAGAAATCTCTTCCCTCACTAGGAAGCATATGGGTCACTGGCGAGACGGTGTGGCAATGCCTTATTTGTAACTGCTCCCCAAGTTACCAAGGCAACAAGCAACAATGTGACCCAATGGCTTGAGTCAACAACTGGTTCTCCAGCACCGGGCATCCTCTTTAACCAATGACTGGGCTTTGAAATTTCCCATACTCTGAATACTCAGGAATTGCTTTCTTATATGTGTGTAGTTTCCACTTATTTCATTCCTTCAGGGTTTGGGATTGGGTTTTTTTTTTCTTTTTAATTAATTAATTAATTTAATAAATTAATTTAATTAAGCATTGAGAATTATAGTGTGCCAGGTGAGGAATCAAGAAAACCTGAGTTCAATTTTTTTTTCCTTTTTAATTAATTAAGCATTTAAAGAAAAGAGTCACGGTATCAGCATTTTGCCATCTTTCCCACTGTGTATGGCTCAGCAGGGAAAAGATAGGGAGATTATCCTACTGCCACACAGATTCATTTACTGATACACAGCTTGAAAAAAGTTCAGAAGAGAAAACTGACTCTTCAGGAAAAGGCCATAAGGAAACATTTTTGTTCTTCTGTTAAAAGGTTCTTGTGTCCTTTTTTTTCTTTTTAATATGAACATGATGGCTGGAAGCCAGCAGTGCTTACTACAGTATGGGACTACATGGTTGGTCTGTTCTGTGTCTACTTGCATAATGTGCTCAGCACCTATAAATGAAACCCAGTCCGGCCCATAAGTCTTAGTGGGGTTTTAAGCTTTAGTAGTTTAAAGCCACACTAAGACTTTTGAGATACCCAGTGTTTTCTCTCTACTTCCACCTTCTGAACATTAAGCATGAACAGAAATTTGTATCTAAAAGCACCACTATTCATTCTGATCATTTGCCTGGGTGCACATTTCCAAAACGTGCTGAGGGCTTTTTAGATAATTTTTTTTAAAAGGATGACTGCAACTTTTGTTTTTGCTTTTACTGTGTATGCACACACAGACACACACATTACTGATTAATGAACTTTGTATTTTTTTAGAAGTCATTCTCATTAATTTCATATATTTCTTCATGGAGCCTACAAAATGTAATGTATTCTAGTAGAGTTCCTCATCACAAGATTTATATTTTTCCTTCTTGATCATAACCTCCATGTAAATATGATATTCTCACACTTTAAAAATGAAGAAGCTAAAAACATTATGGGGTTAAACAGCCCGTTTATTAAAGGGGGAACCAATAAATATGGAACCCATTAATTTTACAGAGTATCTACCATGTTGATGTTGAGAGGCAAAAAGAATTCACTAGAAAATTTTAAACTATTTTCTAAAACACTTCTGTGAAATAAGACTGTATTTCAAGGAAACTGTGGTCATTTCAATCAATGCCTATGTCTATTACTATGTTTTCATGAGATTATATAAAATGATGGTATTCAGTCTATTTTTGCAAACCAGAAAAGTTGTTGCTATTTTTCCTCTGTTGTTAATTTAACCCACATTAGGGCAGGATGTCCTGGCTATTTTGTGAAATAGCTCTTAGGTCAAAATTTGATAGCTTTGTCTGTTTCAGAAGAATATGTCTAGAATGCAGTGTAACACCCCTTTTAGGTTAACTGAGGGCAAGTACTGTTTATGGTAAGGCATATTTATGTGATCTAAGTTAGTTTTCATTCTCTGCTAATCTCTTATTTTATGTCTTAGACTTACCCTGTGTTTAAATTTTCTCTCAAATCTTGACTCTACTTAGAAAGACTTTTCTGAGGGTTTTTTGTTTTATTTTGTTTTTTTTTTGTCCTAGCTTTTATTTGAAAGATTAAAATTGTTCCAAATGAAAACACTGGTTAGCCCTTGGCTATGTACTGTCTGTACTAATGTCTGGTCACTTCTTTTACGTAATCAATGGAAAAGTATTTTTAAGTACCTACACTGTGCTGGTCACTGGGGATACAAAAACGAATGCAAAAATGCTGACTCTCAAGAAATTTTCATTCTATCATAAATCATTTCTACTGTATTGTTTGCTCTTCAGGGACAGATAGTCTTATGCTTCATTTGCATTGCCATCTACACAAAGTGGTCACTTACTTGATAGTAATCGATATCTTATTTCATTAATTTAATTTGAATTATTTTATTTCCCCTTGGAAATTTGAACCCACCCAAGAATTTGCATCATAGATTTAGAGATAGAAGAGATTTAGAAGTCTTTTTGTTCAACCCCCTCATTTAACAGATTAGGAAACCGAGGCACACAGAGTTTAAGTGATTTAGCCAAGATTACACACTCAGGTGGTGAGCTAGGATTTGGATCCAGGCTTTATGTCTCCAAATCCAGCATGATTTTTCCTTTGCATTGTAAGTCCAAACTTCAGTTAGGATGTCATTCATTCATTCATTTGTTCATTCATTCATTCACTCATTCATTTGTATCTACCTGAACTAGGAATGATTGAATACAAGTCCAAAAGGTGGCATTTACTTAAATGCCACATTTTGTTTAAAAATCTTCTGCCCATGAGTAAACTGACTTAGTTTTTATTAATATTCAGGTTTGTAACTACTGTCAAGCCATCAACAAGTATTTATTAAGCACCTACTATATGCCAGGAATTTTGCTAGGTACTAGAAATACAGGTTCAAAGAATGATATAATCACCACCCAAAATGAGCTTACATCTAATGGAGGAGACAGCAAGATCGTATAAAAACATGTACAACACAATATAAAGTTAACAAATAAACACACACACAAAGTTGTTCTACAAAAGGTAGTTTGGGAGGGAAGGCTCTGCCAGTGGTAGTCATCATTCATGCCAAAGATGGTGGCTGAGCTGCGTCTTAAAGAAAGACAGAGAGTCTATGAGGGAAAGGTAAGGATGGGAGTGCATTCTAGGCTTGTGGTGCTCACAGTTCAAGGGCTTGGAGATGAAGATAGGATTCCTGAGTGAAGAGCCAGAGAAGACTAATTGGCTGGATTGAAGAGTCAAGGAGGAGGGTAATGGTCAGTGAGGCTAGAAAGAAGTTAGAACCAGGTTGTATGAGGACAAAGTGGTGGTTCAAGTTTTAGCAGTTACTGAGATAATTCAGGCAAGAAAAGACACCCAGTTATTAAATTTAAATGGCTTTTTTTGGTCTGAAGGGTTCAGATTATGGGCTATCACACTAACATTCACTAGGTAAACACTTCACTCATAGCCTCATGTGACTATAGAGCTCTTACATTTGCCCTCAGCTCCCAGAATCGTGTTTTTCCTTTATTTTTATCAATGTGAACACATCAAACAACCCTAAGTAAACTTGTGCTGGATCCAAAGCCATATCCACAAGTAAAAATTGGCAAGGTCAGTCAAGGGGAGAAGCTTCCACAGGTAGAGCACTTGTCTCCTGCCTTCCATTGCCAGACTCGGGCCTGTGTGAATTTTCTGAATTTTAGACTGTTGCATCAGAGCAGGTGATAATCTTGATGACACACTCATCCTCAAGAGCACGTTGAGCAACAGAAGATGCCTTGGAGTCAAGATGAATGATAAAGGGTGCCAGAGAAGCTGCTTCCACTGAGAGGCTCCCCTGAGACAGGAGGTGATTATTGGACGCTATTTTTATTTTAATATACCTCTGTAATGTCTACCATAACACCAGGGAGAGAGGCTTGGAATCATTTGGATGACAGACTAAAATATTTACTCATCCAGGTGTTTGAAGTAATAGAGATCAGAAGCTTCTGATATGTTCCAAAGTAAAAACTAAAAGTATTCTGAAGAGTTGGGACAAACAAAGATCCGTACATAGAATCCTTGTACTATAAACTCAATGACAGTCATTTGAATTGGCTCCAACTTGTGATTGACTCTCATCAGAACTACAACCAGGATGGGGCAATCAGGGCTTTCCCCAGGGTACCACAGTTTAGAGGGGCACACAGCCTTTCCTTCTTCTTGCCATCCCTTCAACTTTCAGTGCTCTTGGTCCCATACTACTGGCCCACATGTACCCTCAACATGGCAGCTTCCACTCCCAATGCCCCCAGAGGTCAAGAGAGATGACAGCTGTTTTGTTTTGCTCCCACCGAGTTCCCTGCCTCCAGGCCTGTGCTTGCTTATTAGCCAAAATGGAATCCTAAAGCCTTTCTGAATCCCCAGTCCAGTCCACCCAAAACGCCCTGTCCTCATCCCCTCCCACACCCAACTCATTCCTACCCCACATGCATTTTGTCACATTTGCCCCAGGTCCCAGAATTGCTAGTTATTATGAGAGTCAGAAGACCTGGGCTTTGGATGTATCTCTATTACCTGCTGACTATGTAATGTTGGAAGGCTGGTTTTCTGTCCACCATGCCACAGCTGTCTCTAACTTAGAGAAATGAAATCGCCTTTATATCTTAGGTTACTTAAAGGGTTCTTGCTATTGTCATGATAGCTCATCTTTAAAATTAGGTTCCTTATTGCTGAAATAGCTCTTTCTTTTAATCTTGCTAACATTCATTCCTTCTTTCAGTGAACATTTATTAAACCCACAGAGCACTTTGCTGGCTGGCTGAGGAGGGATAAGAACAAGGCACCATTCTTGATCTCAAGGAGCTTGTGTTCTAGGTGGGAGATAACCATAACTGCAGACTTTCAATTTTTTTCTTCCTAGAACCATTATTGGCAAACAGGCCTGGGGAATAGATTGTGGAAGAGAGGGGGAGAAATGATTTTGATTTGGGATTATTAACCAGCTGAGAATGTGCTCACTACACCTGTCTTCAAAAGTTCACTGTTCTTAACATTCTTCCACAATGTTACTTAATGCTCTTCCATAAGTGCCTACTAAATTGTCTACCTATCACCTTCAGTAATAGTGAGGAAGGTATTCCTGGGATGTTTTACCAGCCAGTTTAGCATCACTGAAATTCAATGGGTGGAAAAAAGTCACATGAATGGCTTTTTACAAATCCTCTCACCTTTTCTCTAATTATTAGATTTATAGCATCAGAACATTTCTTTAAATAGGGGGGATCACCCGCCCACCTACCAACCTCCTCATTTTACAGATGAAGGAACTGAGACTTGCTTAACATAAAGCCTTGTTCTTCTTGACTTCCTAACTCTCCTCTTCCAGTCTACCCCTTATTTCCTTCCCTCCTCCTCTCCTAGCCTCTTCTCCAGCGACGTGACAGTGGTGACAATAATTGTAGCCATGAAAATGGAGTTGGTGGTCAGAGAAGGGCAAGGTTGGTCTAGAATGCAAGGAAGCAAGGACAAGAAAAGAAAAGAACCACGTAATTCCAACTCCTTTTGCTCCTCCCTTCAAGCCCAACCTTGTACCATTATTTTTTTAAATAAACAGTATTTAATTTTTTTCCAATTACATGAAAGATAATTTTAGCATTTTAAAAAATTTTCAGTTCCAAGTTTTTCTTCCTCTCTCCCTTCCCTCCCCCATCCCTAAAACAGTAAGCATTTTGATATAGGTCAGATATATTGCGCCATTATTATTCAGAGAAAACGATTTCAGCCTTTTGAGATCATTCTATACCACCAATTAGCGAACCCTGTTTCGTTTCCACTTAAGTACGGACACAAGCCAAAAATTAGACAAGAACAACTAAAGGGGAATAGATCTTAAAATGATGGGGTTGCACTAGCTGACCTTTTGGAAAGAGCAACAGACTTGGGAGTTAGGAGTCCTGGCTCTGACATTTTTTCACTGCATGATTAAAGCAAATTATGTCACCTCACTGAGCCTCAGTTTCCTGATCTGTAAAATAACAGCTAATATAACACTTAAAGGTTTGCAAAGCACTTTAAAAATATTATTTCATTCGATCCTCACAATAACTCTGGAGGGAGGTGCTTTTCCTTATCCCCATTTTACAGTTGGGGAAACTGAGGAGACAGAGAGGCAAAGTGACTTGCTTAGGGGTCATACATCTAAGAAATGTCTGAGGTTAGATTTGAATTTGAGTCTAGCTTCCTTAAAAAAAAAAAGGAGTTAATATGTATGTGTATACAACTTTTTAGTGTTGTGAGAATTATTGTGACACATGAGTAGACTATGTTTTTGTGACTACCATTTTAGAGAACAGAACAAATGGTGCTTGTTTAGGATTCTCCCAGGACAACTACTCCTTCCTCTAGCTTTGTTTCTTCCTACCGCCTTTCAGACTTGGAGTTGAAAGAGAAATGAACATTGTAGAGGCAGCCTGACCTGGTGCATGGAGAGCCTCTGGAGAAGCCGGGAGGACCTGAGTGTGAGGCTAGCCTCTCTGACAGGTTTTGGCTGTGGGAACCTGGACAAATCACTTCCCTCTCAGTACCTCAGGCAAGAGCCTGAAGACCCTAAGCTGTAGAACAGGTGCTTATCTACACTGTTAAAGAGAATTTCCTTACCTGGCAGTTCCCTGTAGTTCCCACAGTATGGGACCCTAACTCCCCACCCCAAAACAACAACCACCACCACCAACCATTTAAAGAAAGCTTGTTTGCATGCAAAAAGTGGGTTCTGGACAATATACCTGTTGTAGAATCAGGTTCTCATGAAGTCATATTTTGGTCAACCTTCACACTTAGTATTTTATACTGTTTCCCATGTTTTACCTATGAATCTACATGACCCATGGAGTGGGGAAAGGGAGGAGGGCTTATTCTTTTCCATGAAAGAGAAAGCTTTGCTTATTTGGGAAGTAAAGGCAACAGAATGCCCCAGAAACTTGTCTTTGCCTCCACCTAGGCCATCTACTAGTGTTGCTACCTAGAGGTTGTCAAGTACTGAACATATCCTTTGATTACGGCCCAGGCTGCCTCGGCACAATAGTGCCCAGTCATGGAAGTATCTTTGGTAAAGGGTGATTCATGTTCATTTAAGTAGAGCCAAATTGTCTCTAAGCCTCCACTAGATTACTTCTTCTTGTGGGTGCAGTTTTGCACCTGCACCAAGTTAGAGATACAGAAATTGTATGTGTACCTGATTGCATCTGCAATCCACCCCTGGTGACCTCAAAATTAGGGCCAAATGCCTACCTGAGTACACAGTTATACTCTCATGTGATTTTTATATGAGTAAGGAATTGCCAGCCCAGGTTTCTAATGCGGAAGGTTCCCACAAGTAGTAGATGGTACTCCTAGTTTACACTATAAAGCAAATTGAGTACAGTTAACTGTCAATTACCTACATATGGATTATCCCTCATTACCTCATGTTAGGGTTATTGCAATAGCTTCCTAGCTGACCTGCCTAAGTCCAGGTTCTCCCCACCCCACCTTTTCCAATCCATCCTATGTAGATAAATCCTCCTCAAACACTGCTTTCATTATCAGTCTGTCAACTAATATTGGCCACTCTCCATGTGCAAGACATTGTGTTACACCCTGGGAAACCTATCAACTCTGCGGGGATTTCAGTAGCTTCAATATGCATGCTCTGTCTTTGTTATGCCATCTTAGTTCTTGCCACTACCCAGAATCAACTCCTTTGCTCTAGAGAGGCTAATGTATATCTTTATTAGCCCAAGAACAACTCAAAACACACGCCCTTCTCCAGGCCTAATGTTTTCCTTCTCTTTCCAACCATCTTAGGCCTTCCTATCATTCAGTGCCCTGCTTGAATCTTAAGATTTCTTTGGTTCCTGAAGGCTTAACTGGGCTCCATCTCTTCCTCGAAACCTCAGCTCCATCACCTTTATTTTTCAAATGAAAAATCAAGACCAGTGGTCGGATAAAGGATATTATTCCTAAGCACGTTACAGATGTCCAATGCTTTCTGTCCCATTTATTGACTGATTCAGTTAGGTTGATAAGGGTGGTGTGGTCTCTTAGCTTAACGCAGAAAGGGAGGAAAATGCTACTTGTTTTTATTGTCCCAGAATGAATTTCTAGCCTCAGCTACCCAAGGGCTCCTGCTATCTGATCTGGTGTCTTTTTTCTCTTCATCCTCAAAATAATTTTGGGAAGAGCTTTTTCATCCAATGAGATGTAAACATAGGACTCTTTTTGTAGCAAGGGCGGATTTTTACTGAGCCATTTGCTTTTTTCCTTTTGATTCTCCCTTTATAACCAGCAGCCTGAGTTTGGGTGAAGAGTAGCTCAGGCTAGAAATCCAGTCTGGGATCCTTAAAGGTTCGAGGCTACTGGCAAGAAGTTACCCACAAAAAAAAAAACCAGGGAACCTTCTTTTTGGGGAAAGGAAGGGATCAACCTAACATGTTCACTTGAGTCTCATTCATGTTCATAACTCTTAGAGAAAGATTTATAAAGGAGACTAATATGTTTATGAAGAAGCTAGTGTTCCCACGGAGTTTGTCAGTTGGAAGGATGTAACCCCTTGATCTTAGTCAACATAAATGAAGTATCTCCAAACACTACTTGCTGATCCAAGCAAGCATAGACTTGATACAGCCATTAGCGTTTAGAATAGGAATCCTATACCCGTGGACCTTAAACTTGTTTTATTTTAAATAGATACATAGATAGATGGATAGATAGATAAAGATACACACAGATAGATACATAGATAGAAAGATAGATAGACAGATAGAGATACACACAGATAGATAGATAGATAGAAACATACATACATACATACATACATACATAGATGGA